ATTTTAAAATAAAGACTGTAACAAGATTAAACCAGATAGACTGAACAGATAGATTCAGACATTTCATCCTAAAGCAGCAGAATACACATTCTTCTCGAGTGCACAAGGAACATTCTCCAGAATAGATCACATACTGGGTCACAAATAAGCCCTCAACAGGTACAAAAAGATCGAGATCATACCATGCATATTTTCAGATCACAATGCTATGAAACATGGAATCAACCACAAAAAAAATTTTGGAATGTCTTCACATACATAGAGGTTAAAGAACATCCTACTAAAGAATGAATGATTGGGTTAACCAGGAAATTAAAGAAGAAATGAAAATATACATGGAAGCAAATGAAAATGAAAACACGACAGTTCAAATCCTCTGGGATGAAGCAAAGGCAGTCCTAAGAGAAAACTATACTGCAATTCAGGCCTATCTCAAGAAGCAAGAAAGGTCCCAAATACACAATCTAACCTTACACCTAGAGGAGACAGAAAAGAAACAACAAATGAAGCCGAAAGCCAGCAGAAGGGAAACAAACAAAATTACAGCAGAAATAAATGACAGAAACAAAACCAGTAAAACAGATCAAAGAAACTTAAGAGTTGGTTCTTTGAAAGAATAAACAAAATTGATAACCCCCTAGCCAGACTTATCAAAAAGAAAAGAGAAAGGACCCAAGTAGATAAAATCATGGATGAAAAGAGATCACAACCAACACCACAGAAATATAAACAATTATAATAAGGGAATACTATGAAAAATTATATTCCAACAAACTGTGCAATCTGGGAAAAAATGGACAAATTCCATTTTTTTTTTTTGGAATTTGGAAACTCACAAATAACCAAAACTGAAACAGGAAGAAATAGAAAAGTTGAACAGACCCATAACCAGCAAAGAAATTGAATCGGTAATCAAAAATCTCCCAACAAACAAGAATCCTGAGCCAGGTGGTCTTCCCAAGGGAATTCTACCAGACATTTAAAGAAGAGTTAATACCTATTCTTCTTAAACTGTTCCAAAAAATAGAAATGGAAGGAAAGCTTCCAAACTCATTCTATGAAGCCAGAATTATTTTGATTCCAAAACCAGATTCCATTAAAAAGGAAAATTACAGGCCAATATCCCTGATGAAACTGGATGCAAAGATTCTCAACAAGGTATTAGCAAATGAAATTCAACAGTACATTAAAAGACTAATTCATTGTGATCAAAAGGGATTTACTCCTGGGCTGCAGGGTTGGTTCAATATTCACAAATCAATCAATTTGATATACCACATTAATAAAAGAAAGGATAAGAGCCATATAATCCTGCCAATAGATGCAGAAAGTGTTTGACAAAATACAGCATCAATTCTTGATAAAAACTCTCAACAAAGTAGGAACTGATGGAACATACCTCAACATCACAAATGCCACATATGAAATACCCATAGCTAATATCATCCTCAATGGGGAAAAACTAAGAGCCTTTCCCCTATAGACAGGAACAAGACAAGGATGCCCACTCTCACCATTACTATTTATTTAACATAGTATTGAAAGTCTTAGTCTCAGTAATCAGACAATAACAAGAAATAAAGGGCATAAAAACTGGCAAGGAAGAAGTTAAACTTTCACTATTTACAGATGACATGACACTCTATGTAGAAATCCCAAAAGACTCCACCAAAAAATTGCTAGAACTAGTACATGAATTCAGCAAAGTTGCAGGATGTAAAATCAATGTGCAGTAATCTGTTGCATTTCTGTACACCAATAATGAAACAACAGAAAAAGAAATAAAGGAATCAATTCCATTTACAATTGCACAAAAACAGCAAGATACCTAGGAATAAACCTAACTAAAGAGGTAAAAGATCTGTACTCTGAAAACTATAGAAGACTTATGAAAGAAACTGAAAAGAACACAAAGAAATGAAAAAGCATTCCATGCTCATGGATTGGAAGAACACTGTTAAAATGTCTATACTACTCAAATCAATCTACACATTTAAAGCAATCCCTATCAAAATACCACCAGCATTTATTGCAGAGCTAGATCAAACAATCCTAGAATTTGTATGGAACCACAAAAGACCCCAAATAACGAAAGCAATCCTCAAAAAGAAAAACAAAACTGGAGGCATCACAATTCCAGATTTCAAGCTATGTTACTAAGCTGTAGTCATCAAGACAATATGGTACTAGCACAAAAACAGACACATAGATCAATGCAACAGAAAAGAAAACCCACAAATGGACCCACAACTATATAATCAACTCATCTTTGACAAAGCAGGAAAGAATATCCAATGGAAAAAAAGATAGTCTCTTCACCAAATGGTGCTGAGAACACTGGACAGCAACATGCAGAAGAATGAAACTAGATCACCTTCTCTTACATACACAAAAATAAATTTAAAATGGATGAAAGACCTAAATGTAAGCCAGGAAACAATCAAAATCTAGAGAGTAACACAGGCAGCAACCTCTTTCACCTAGGCCGTAGCACTTTTAACTAGACATGTCCCTGAAGGCAAGGGAAATGAAAGCAAACATGAACTATGAGGACTTCATCAAGATAAAAAGCTTCTGCACAGTGAAGAAACAATCAACAAAAGTAAAAGGCAGCCTACAGAACAGGAAATGTTTGCAAACAACGTATCTATGAAGTATTAGTATCCAAAATCTATAAAGAACTTAACAAAATCAACAACCAAAAAACAAGTAACCCAGTTAAGACATGGGCAGAAGACATGAATAGACACTTTTCCAAAGAAGACATCCAGATGGCTAACAGACACATGAAAAGATGCTCAATATCACTCATACTCAGAGAAATAGAAACCAAAACCATGATGAGATACCACCTCACATCTGTCAGAATGACTAAAATGAATCACACAAGAAGCAACAGGTGTTGATCCCCCTTTCTCCACATCCTCATCCTCTTGCACTGCTGGTGGGAATACAAACTGGTGCAACCACTCTGGAGAACAGTGTGGAGGTTCCTCAAAAAAACTAAAAATAGAACTACTCTACAATCTAGCAATTGCACTATTATGTATTTACCCAAAGGATACAAAAATACAGATTTGAAGGGGCACATGAACCCCGATGTTTATACAGCAGCATTATCAACAATAGCCAAACTATGGAGACAGCCCAAATGTCCATTGACTGATGAATGGATAAAGAAGACATGGTGTGTGTGTGTGTGTGTGTGTGTGTGTGTGTGTGTATACATATATATACGTATATATATATACATATATATATGTGTATATATATATACATATATGTACGTATATATATATATATATAATGTTATATTACCCAGTCATCAAAAAGAATGAAATCTTGCCATTTGCAATGATTTGGATGGAACTAGAATGTATTATACTAAGTGAAATAAATCTTTCAGAGAAAGACAAATATATAATTTTTACTGATGTGAAACAAAACAGCTGAACATACGGGAAAGAGGGGAAGAGAAGAAAGGGAAAAAAACCCACAAGGGACTCTTAAGGACAGAAAACAAACTGAGAGTTGATGGAGGGACATGGGTGGGAGATGGGCTAGATGGGTGATGGGTATTAAGGAAGACACTTGTTGTGATGAGCAGAGGGTGTTCTATGTAAGTGATGAATCACTGAATTCTTTTATTTTTTATTTTTTAAACATTTATTTATTTTGAGGGAGACAGAGAGACTGTGAGCAGGGGAGGGGAGAGAGTGAGGGAGAAACTCAAGCAGGTTCTGTGCTGCCAGTGCAGAACTCGATGTGGGGCTTGAACCCACAAAACTGAGAGCATGACTTGGAGCTGAAATCAAGAATCAGACTCTCTACTGACTGAGCCACCCAGGCACCCACTGAATTCTACTTCTGAAACCAATATTGCACTATATACTAACTAAAATTTGAATTAAAAAAAATTGAAAGTAAAAACTGTAAAAAAAGGGGAAAAAAAAAAAAAAAGATCCCATCCTTGCCTGTTCTAGGAGCCTGCCTAGCTCATATGAACACAGTTTAGTATCTCAGCCTCCTGCTTCAGATTAGCAAAGCACTCCAGAGGAAGATTGGCTTCAGTTTTTTAGGCTCAGCACTCTGGGTTCCCATCCTTCCCTATGAATAGTGTTCTTTACTATACCATTAGCTCTTTGATATTTTAAAGAATTAAAAAAAATACATTTTTAAAATTTTGTGTTACTCTATCAATTATCCTTGGTGAGACTGTTATTCCAAATTATCAGCTGCCCATAGCTTGAAGAACAGTCTTCATTTTTCACAATGAACTAAAACTGACTGATTCCCAGCACCAAGATGAATGATCATCTGGAGAAGTCCTGAAAGTTAAATTGCACTGCACTGCAACTTAATGATATTTAATCTTATAGTTTTTCTAATTAGTCAAGCAAGCACAAAAGGAAAATTCTAACGTTATCTTTGCAAAACAGAAAGAGAATAAAAGGAAAAAAAATAAGGATAGATAACAGCTATTTGAAAGAAAGGTCAAACATTCAAGGATTCATTAGCTCATTCAAGGACCAATTTCTACTCTGTGCCAATTATGTGGAAGGTAATAAATGAAGGAGATTTTGCTATTTTAAGTAACTTTTTACTGCAATGAGAATAGTACTAGAGGTTTCCTAAGATAAATGTTTAGGTAAAACACTTTTTCAAAGTTAAGGTCACCAAATAAAGTTAATAATAGAATTGAAATAATAAAAGATCATATTTAATGAAAATAAAGAAAATCCTTTCTAAATTATTCATTAAGTTGTGAATATTCATTTTTAACCACCCAAACCTATTCTGATCTTGGTTCCCTGAGCAATATATTCCCGATACTGGTTAGAATGACCAAAAAAAATGTCCTTTTGCTAAAAACATGGATATATTAATTGTTGTGACAAAGAGAAAAAGGTGAACATAATTTATGCATGTAAGAAAAGCCTACATGGCTTGAATGCTTCAGTTTTACAGATATAATATCCAAATTAAATCAGTCAACTTACACAGTTCTTCTCTATCAAGAGATTGTGCACCACCTCCGAATAAGCCTTTAAAGAATCCCCTGTTTGGTGCTTCAGGTGTTTCTACAGGAGTGAAGAGTTCGCCCAACATCTCCTTTAAAATCAAAACAAATTGTAATTGGTAAAGTTACAGGGAGACTAAACTATAATTCACAAAACCATCACTGCAAATTCTGCAACTTAAGCTTATAACATTACCTGTTGAGATTCAGAAACAATTAATGAGCATATTTCAAGCGATCAGATCTAGTACATACTTAGTCAAACAGTTAAGACTAAATTGACTAAAATGAACTTGCTGTTTGCTACTTTGTCTAGATTATTTTCATCACACTTCAAGCAAAGATGATATTCCTGCTTAAACTGTAAGAGGATTCCAATCTTTATGACAACATTATCCCTTAATTCTTAATATCAAGAATTGATAACTGGATTAATAATTAGGTCTTCCTACATTAGAAAGAAGAAAAGCTACTAGTAAGATGAGAAGTTTAGTGTAATGATGATACATGATTTTGGAATTATCACTTTCAGCTGAGTCAGAAAATTAATAACTTAGAAAGACACATCAACTTCTGTTTTCATAAATATAGCCCAGGAAAAGAATTATGCCAACATACACCTGGAACTCCAGAATTCTGGTAGGGAGATTGAAAGGCTTCTTTCTGCCTTGTCTGAAATTACTGTCACTACTCTTCAGAGCACAGAAATGGTAAAACTACCTCAGGAGACAAGAAAGGTTGCTGACCTATTAATGATTTTGTAGATAAATAGAGAGGGAAGAGGAAGTTCTATAAAAGAAGGAAAGCAGCAACATTATTTATAAGGCAGCTCCGGGAAGCTTTAAAAGCAAGATAAAACTATAGTGAACTTTGGAGGCTGCACTTCTGCCCACTGATGAGAAGTAGCTATGATAAAAAAGACAAGTACATTATTGGTTCCAGGTAGGAGTTCTGCTGTATCTGATTTTACACTATTATAGTTGAAAATGAAGTATGTATTTTTTGATTTCCTTAGGGCTGGGCTAAGAAAGTTAACGATGAATGTCCAAAGACTTTACTTTTAAACATATTCATATTAATATTGTCTCTCCAACCAGATTATAAACGGAAGAGAGAACTGTTAACACTATATAACACAGTTTCACCTACAATGTTGAAGTGGATTGAAACCTATATGTTTTAGTTTTCTTTCCTCCAAATTTCTACAAAGTGGAGTACAACTGGAATGTAAAATTTCCTTTAGTCAATAAAACAAACTTGTTAAAACTCACCATAGAAACTGATAATGATTATTTAATTCAAATTTATATTAGATGATATAACAAAGGTGATTTCCAATCATTTTTATACTGTGCTATACAGATTCCCATTTAAACTATATTTATTAAATTGATACAACAAAAAATGGCAAACAGCTACCATTTGAGTGTCTTTTATGCTAAATCAAGAGTAATATGACATAAAATGAGTGACAGTATAAAGATATGCATTTTAAAGTTTATTTTAAAATTATGGTTTAGAATTCTGAATTTATTTGGTGCTTAATAAGCTTACAATTTGATAAATATAAAGAAATATAAAAAAAACCAAACAGATTATAGTTATAAATGAAGAGTCACTTATAGTGGAGAAATGACTGTTTGGAACCAGTATAAACTTTGGAACCACATAGACTTGGGTTTGATTCTCATCTCCGCCTTTTACTCACAGAGGAATCTTATGCAAATCAATCTCTCAAAGAACTGGTTTCCTCAACTTTAAAAAGAAAAGATAGGGGCGCCTGGGTGGCGCAGTCGGTTGAGCGTCCGACTTCAGCCAGGTCACGATCTCGCGCTCCGTGGGTTCGAGCCCCGCGTCGGGCTCTGGGCTGACGGCTCGGAGCCTGGAGCCTGTTTCCGGTTCTGTGTCTCCCTCTCTCTCTGCCCCTCCCCCGTTCATGCTCTGTCTCTCTCTGTCCCCAAAATAAATAAACGTTGAGAAAAAAAAATTTAAAAAAAATAAATAAAAAGAAAAGATAATAACACTTACCCTCAGGAATGTTATCAAGATTAAAGATAATGAACAACATATAAAGGGCCAAGAGTAGACACTCAATGATATAAACACTAAAATTAGAGAAAAAACTCCTTTCACACAATTAAAGATGAAACAAATTATAAAATACAGAAATTACTTATCAAGAGATCAACAATATGAATAGATTATCTTTAAAGGAAGGTTAACAGGGATTTCTTAGAGTCTGCAGTCTCAGTATTAAGATTTGGGGAGAAACACTGATATTAAAAAAGTATATATTACAAAACTATTAAATAGTATCTGTAGATTTTTTGCTTGTGCTTAAATAAGGATTTTACTGGGGAAGTTGGATGGTTCAGTCGGTTGAACTTCTGACTCTTGATTTTGGCTTAGGTCAGGTCATGATCTCAGTTTTGTGAGTTCAAGGCCCCTTGTCAGTCTCCATGCTGACCCTGCAGAGCCTGCTTGAGATTCTGTTTCTCTCTCTGCTCCTCCCCTGCTCATGTTCTGTCTCTCTCAAAATAAATAAATGAACTTAAAAACAATTATAAAGGGGCACCTGGGTGGCGCAGTCGGTTAAGCGTCTCTGTGAGTTCGGAGCTATGTCGGCTCTGGGCTGATGGCCCAGAGCCTGGAGCCTGTTTCCGATTCTGTGTCTCCCTCTCTCTCTGCCCCTCCCCCGTTCATGCTCTGTCTCTCTCTGTCCCAAAAAAATAAATAAACGTTGAAAAAAAAATTAAAAAAAAAATTATTAAAAAAAGTAAGGATTTACCTATGATTAAATTTACTATTTAGAATGATTAATTTTAATTTCTAGTGATGCTGGTGAAATCTAAATTAGGTTTGTATTTCCTATGATATCTTTCTACATCTAGTAACAGCAAATTAACTATTGTTAGATTCATTCATAATAGTGTTATCAACAGTTCACTTTTTTTTTTTATTGTGGAGTTGTATTCTACTGTATGGATATACTATAATTTGATTTTTCATTCATCTGTTGATGGACACTTGGGTAGTTTCTGGTTTTTTGGCTAGTGCAAATAAAATAGCTATGAATATAATTTCCTTTTCTCTTGAGTTAAAAAACTAAGAGCAGAATGGCTGGGTCTTTGGTTTATGAATGTTTAACTTTTTAAGAAACTTCTAAGCTGTCTTCCAAAGTGGGTGTACTGAAGCAGTGTAGACCTTTTACATCCTTGTGAGAACGTGGCATGGTATTCTTTTTACAGCCTTTCTAGTAAGTGTTTAATGGTGTCTCATTGTGGTTATAATTTGCAGTTCTGTAAGGCCTAAGAATATTGAACATCTTTTCATGGTGAAGCATCTGTTCAAATACTTTGCCCACGTTTTTATTGGGTTGTTTTATCTACTTTCTGAGGACTTTTACAGACTCTTTTACATATTCTGGATTTAAGTCCCTTATGGATATATGTTTTGTCAAGGCTTTCTTCCAGCTTGTGGCTTATCTTTTTATTTCTTAAATGTCATTGAAGAGCAGAAGTTTTACATTTTGTTGAAGTTGTCAATTTGTTCTTTTATGGGCAGTGAGTCTGGTGTTGTAGCTAAGAAATCTTTGCCTAACCCAAGTTAACAAAAATCTTCTCTTATATTCCTTTTAAAAGTTGTATAGTTTTAGGATTTACATGTAAGTCTATGATTCATTTTGAATCAAATGCTGTATATATTGTGAGGCACGAATTAAAGTTCTTTTTTTTAATTTTAATTTCCAATTTTTCCAGCGTAATTTGTTGGAAAGGCACTCCTTTCTCAGGTGTATTGCCTTCATCAAAAATCAATTGTCCATATATATGAGGGTTTATTTCTGAACTCTATATTCTGTTACATTGATCCATTTATCTAATTTGATGTCAGTATCATGTTCTTTTTATCACCGTAGCATTATAACTCCTAAAACCAGGTGGTGTAAGTCCTTCAACTTTATTCTTTTTCAGAGTTGTTTTGCCTATTCTAGGTCCCATGAATCTCTATAGGAATTTTAGAATAAACTTATCAATTCTTATAAAAAAAAATGCTACTGGTATTTTGTTTGAGATTGCCTCAATATAGATCAATTTTGGGAAAACTGGTATTTTAACAATATTGAATTTTCTGACCTATGAACAAAGTACATATTTCAATTTATTCATGTCATTAAAAATTTCTTTCAGTGTTTTGTGATCTTCAATGTACAGGTCTTTGATATTTTTTGTCAGATTTATCCCAGTGTAGTTCATATTTTTTGTTGCTATTATAGATGGTGCTTTTTAAATGTCAATTTCCCAATGCCCATTGCTAGTATAGAATT